ACTGCGGGCATAACACAAAATAAAGCAGATTTGGAGGGGAGGAAAAAAGCACTGTATAACAATTTGTGGAACAATCGTTCATTGACAAAGAGGCTGCGCCGTTTCTTTAATCCATTTGGTGTTAAGATCCAAGAAATCGTTATAAGCCTCTGCTTGCCATTTTTGGAATATTATCTAACAATGTTCAGATTAAAGAAAACAAAAGGTGTTTTTTTTCTGAAAAACCACATCTTAGGTGTTGTGAAAAGAGGGGCTAGGGGTGACAGGACAGCAGTGTTCCAATATTTGAGGGGCTGCCGCTAAGAAGAGGGGATGAACCAGTGGTGAGATTCAATTTTTTTTTACTGCTGGTTCTGTGGGCGTGGCTTGGTGGGCGTGGTGTGACTTGGTGGGCGTGGCAGGGGAAAGATACTGCAAAATCTCCATTCCCACCCCACTCTGGGGCCAACCAGAGGTGGCATTTGCCGATTGTCCGAACTACTCAAAATTTCCGCTACCGGTTCTTCGAACTACTCAAAATTTCCACTACCGGTTCTCCAAACTTGTCAAAATTTCCGCTACCAGTTCTCCAAACTAGTCAAAATTTCTGCTACTGGTTCTCCAAACTATTTAAAATATCCGCTACCAGTTCTCCAGACTACTCAAAATTTCCGCTATTGGTTCTCCAGACTACTCAAAATTTCCGCTACCAGTTCTCCGAACTATTCAAAATTTCCGCTACCGGTTCTCCAGACTACTCAAAATTTCCTCTACTGGTTCTCCAAACTAGTCAAAATGTCCACTACCAGTTCTCCAAACTAGTCAAAATGTCCGCTATCGGTTCTCCAAACTACTCAAAATTTTCGCTACCAGTTCTCCAAACTATTCAAAATTTCCGCTACCGGTTCTCCGAACTACTCAAAATTTCCACTAATGGTTTTCCAGAACCTGTCAGTACCTGCTGGATTTTAGTGCAAGGATGAATCTATTCTCCCAAGCTCCAGAAGACAAAAGAAGAAACAATGGATGGAAAAACTTAAACAGGGAGAGAAGCAACCTAGAACTAAGGAGAAATTTCCCAAAAATTAATTAGAACAATTAATCAGTGGAACAACTTGCCTCCAGAAGTTGTGGGTGCTCCAACACTGGAGGTTTTCAAGAAGAGGTTGGACAATCGTTTGTCTAGAATGGACTAAGGTTTTTTGCTTGAGCAGGGGGTTGGACTAGAAGACCTCCAAGGTCCCACCCAACTCTGTAATTCTCTTATTCTTTGTAGTAGCCTTCTTAAGATTCTTAGCCAGTGCAGACAACTTCAAAGCCAGTTATTTCAGACTTGCTCTGCTTCCTAACCTGGGGAAATTTGGACATGTGGAAATACCTCCAACTACAAGAGGCGTGGTGGCGCAGTGGTGAAAATGCAGCATCCATCCATCTATCTATCTATCTATCTATCTATCTATCTATCTATCTATCTATCTATCTATCTATCTATCTATC